CCCATCATGTGGGTTGGGAGGCAGCATTGCTTTGCTCAGAGAGTATAATGCTGCTAACACAGCCCTGCCTTCAATAAGCAAACTTTCTAGGATTATTTAATTAGCTAAGATTTACCTGAATTTACCAGAGGGTCACTATCTCTCAGTGAGGATAGGAAGCCGGCGGCTTGTCAAATGTCCCCTATTTGCCCTGGTGATTTTATCGAGCAATGTTTTATCATTTACGACTTCGGCGGGTATGCGTTTCCACAACTTTATAATTCTATGGGTGAAAACAAATATTTTCCATCCTTTAGTGTGGCTTGTTGAGCTCGAAACCGTTGCTCCTTGTTCGTCTTACATCTAGCCTTTTGGAGAAGTTTTCTGGGTCAATATCTTCCAAATTGTTCAGTTTCTGATCGGGGAGAAAAACGCAAGCTAGTATGGGGGGGGGGGGACTTATTTATTACATAGTAGTGTAGAGATGATAAGTGCAGGAACACAATATGATCAATGTCAAAGTGACTATAAGACAAAGTCTATAACATAGCTGAATAGATACAGCGGTACTGCAAAAGTGAATCTAATGAGAATAAACAGTAGCACATTTATAACAGATGCATAGTACCAGTTAGCCTTTTGTAGAAGTGTTCTGGGTCAATATCTTCCAAATTGCTCAGTAATTTAAAAGTTTTGCTGAGAGCAGCCCTGTCATGTCTGGTCCCTGTGGCCCTCAACCGTCCCTGGTATGAAAGTCGACTTAGTTCGAAAAAGATTTTAGTCGCCCGGTGTTGAACTTTCTCCAAAGCAGATATGTCTTTCTCAAGATAAGGTTTCAATGCGTGGATATAATAATCCAAGTGGAAGCACACCAGAGATTTATAAAGTTGTATAACTACCTTTTCCTTCGTCAAAATTTCGTTTGACTATTCCTAGGAGTTAGTTTGCTTTATAACTGCAGCTTCCACTTGTACAACTATCAGTGATTGGTGGATTCTGACTCCAAGATAATGAACAAATCCACAAGGGCCGTGACGAGGATTCGAACCTGCGTTCGGGAGCATCACAGACACTGCCTTAATCGACTGAGCTACGACAGGGTTAAAAAGAGTTGAAACCGAAGTTCTACTGAACGTACTGAATCCCGTAGCCTCTACGAGGCACAAACCAGGGTTTTACACAACTCCCCCCTGCACCCGAGCTATGTCAATAGGCCGTTCTCCCTCTTCGCCCTTACATCAAAGATAATGTTGATGATTTAGTAGTTGTGCATTGTTATGCTCCACATGGGTGAAAAAATCTGTTTTCTGTCCTAAGTTGTGGCTTGTTGAACCTGAAATCGTTGTTCCTTGTTTGTGATTGATGAAGATTAAGCCACCAATGAGGTGGCCGCACGGGCATAAACAGTCCGTAACCTAGTTTGTGTTGTTTTAGATTCAGTTACACTGAACAAAAAGTTCCAAGCAGCACGAGCTATTGTGAGCCCGTAGTGGACTTGGCACAGGAGCGGGGCTGTAACGCTTATTTGATTGATGATTGATGAAGATTAAGCCACCCAAGAGGTGGCCCTTTTGAGCCATTACCAGTATCAAGAGCTAATACTGGAGATCTGTGGGGGTGCGACTGCACCCTGCGCGACGGGAGATGTCTCCCGTGTGCTTATTTGTGATTAATTGATGAAGATTAAGCCACCCAAGAGGTGGAACGGGCATCAATAGGACGTAAGTGGAAGATTTTTTTGGATTGAATGTGATCTTTAGTCGTGAAAGGATATATACTGCGTGCTGTGCTCGCATTTAAATCGTCAGTCTGTGGCTGCTATCGCAGGGTGCTTGTTTGTGTTGCATCTGACCATAAATAGTCATAATTGAGTTTCTTAACATTAATAGCCCAAAAAGTAGCAAGTAGCGAGAGTAAAAATTTGGGAGCGCGGGGCTCTCAAAAGTAGCCCAATTCGCTACTTGTAGCCCAATCTGGCAACCCTGAGTGGCAGCGGCCGGCAGCCGGCCCCCCCCCCCTATTGGGCCACATCACCTCCCCTGCTGCAGCCCCCCCCCCCTCCAACACACACACACATATATATATATATATATATATATATATATATATATATATATATATATATATATATATATATATATATATATATATATATATATATATATATAAATATATATACATATTATATCATTTGTATTTATTAGCAAGCTTAATTATGTACGCAGCAGTGCACGGCTACCCTTCTTATATTCGAGAAATTGTTAGTTAGTTTAGTTCATTTATTATGCACCCCATACCCATCTTGTGGTAGTAGTGGAAAGAGTTACAGAGGCACGAGAGATTGCAGAGTACATGTGTTGTTTCTCACTGTCGGGGACAGTGAAGACCTATCCGTTATATTTATACTCTATAGGATAACTTTTTTTTCAACAAGCTTAGGTATACCCAGCAATGTGCTACTATCCTATTCTATATGAACGATTACACAATGTAGTTCAAAAGCTAGCTATAAGTTCATCTTGTAGCGAATATAAACAATATATTCGCTCCAAAGTCTCTAATATGACTAATCATCTCACAGGATGATTAGTCATGCATGGAATCAGGGGAGAAAACACCTGCCTCGATACAAAAACAAATCAACTCTGACTAAATAGCACGATTTTCTGGATGAGCTACAAGCTCATCCAACATCCCCACCTCACAGGACGGCCAGCCATACATGGAGTCAGGAGAGAACATGAAATGTAAGGTCCACTAGCAAAATATGGGTACGGCACAAAGATATCTTCCAATATCCCTGAATGTATGAAATAATTACAAAGCTCAAAGTACCTTACATCATTTGGTCTGACGTAACTGATAACAGGGCAATCACAGATAGTGTTGGAGAGTATGCTCTTATTCACATAGTTTGCAATTGGAATGTTCACCATTGGGGGGATTCTTTCCTGCAGCCACCTGCCATAGATATCGATATCCCAGCCTAATTCTGACAATTACAATGTCACACTGTCTAGTGGATGTTTATGCTGCCCATACATATAATTCTCGTTTCTAAACATGTCATAGCTCTTTATACTTGTGTTTTCTGGCCTTCCGAGTGTCAGTAACTGCTTTTCTGTCTTCCCTAATTTCCTGAAATATTGCAGCTTTTACAGCTGAGATTGGAATGCCCCTATCCAACTCGATTTCAGGCTTATCACATGCAATTTTAGCTGCCTTGTCTCTGTCATCATGCAGGACAACACCTGTGTGAGATGGTGTAAAATGAGATTCTGAAGCTCTTCTTCTTTGATTTAATAATGTTGTTTATAATGGATGTTACAAAATTCCTAGTATAGTACTGTATGCATATTTTCAATTGTGTCTATAGTTACTGAGCTGGTTGGTTGCCGAGATCTACAATTGGGTCGTTGTAATATATGAACTCGATACTGAACGAAATCTAAGGAAGTTACAATTTGGTCAATACTTTCTAAGAATTTGAAAGAGTATGATTTCGGGATGACTTATTGTTGGTGTGTAGTATGATCTCAGGTCTTTGCTAGGAGTGACTACAATGCAATATGTTGCAATCGTTATTTGCTATATTATATGGTTACATAGGTGGTAGTATTTTGTTCAAATATTTAGTTTCACAGCTGATAAAAGTAATTTTACATCTTGAACTTATTTTTTTTCTTATTTCTGTTTAACAATGTATTTTGTTAAACACCTGACATTATGCCTTCCTAATCTCCTTTAAAATAAACCATCGTCTTGTTCTTCGTTTCTCGACCAAAAATCACAGTCACTCCAACAAATCTACCTCCTATTCATGCCCGTGCCACCTCTTGGGTGGCTTGATCTTCATCAATCAATCAATTAATGTTCTTCGTGATTTGCTATTCCATTTCTTTTATAAACTCAGATGTTAGTATGTAGTGGTATTATCTTGAAATCAATGTCAGTCTAGGCGAAGATGACATCCAACATTGGAGGAGCATCACCTCCTCGATCTAAATATAACTTCCTCTTAGATAATGTTAAATCAGAAACATTTTCTTCATCTGGCTAGATTAGTGCTCCAAGCCTCTTTGTTTCCCATTGAATTTCTGGGTTGTTGAAATCACCCATGATCTTTACTGTCAATTCTAATACATCTGCCACAGTTTCTAGTATCCTACTGGTGCATTCGTTGATGTCAGGGTCAATGGGAGGGTGTAGAAGATGGCTGTGTGGGGGTGGATGTGTCTTCTTCAGGAGGTCATCAACCCGTTCTCTCATATAATAAAGAATATTTTGACGCCAAAATCCAAAACGGCCAAGTACAGGGGTACTCTAAATCGCAAACATTTACGTTTCCTTTACGTGGTCGATAGGTTAGGTTAAGATTAGGTTCGAGTGTCTTAGTACACCATTTTCTGTCCGTTGTGGCAACAGGGAGGACGGGTTCCAGCGAGGGTGGGGGGAGCGTGTTGGCGGGTTCCAGCGAGGGTGGGGGGAGCGTGTTGGCGGGTTCCAGCGAGGGTGGGGGAGCGTGTGCGTGGGTTCCAGCGAGGGTGGGGGAGCGTGTGGGCGGGTTCCAGCGAGGGTGGGGGAGCGTGTGCGTGGGTTCCAGCGAGGGTGGGGGAGCGTGTGGGCGGGTTCCAGCGAGGGTGGGGGGAGCGGGTGGGCGGGTTCCAGCGAGGGTGGGGGGAGCGTGTGGGTGGGTTCCAGCGAGGGAGGGGGGAGCGTGTGGGCGGGTTCCAGCGAGGGTGGGGGGAGCGTGTGCGTGGGTTCCAGCGAGGGTGGGGGAGCGTGTGGGCGGGTTCCAGCGAGGGTGGGGGGAGCGTGTGCGTGGGTTCCAGCGAGGGTGGGGGAGCGTGTGGGCGGGTTCCAGCGAGGGTGGGGGGAGCGTGTGAGCGGGTTCCAGCGAGGGTGGGGGGAGCGTGTGGGCGGGTTCCAGCGAGGGTGGGGGGAGCGTGTGCGTGGGTTCCAGCGAGGGTGGGGGAGCGTGTGGGCGGGTTCCAGCGAGGGAGGGGGGAGCGTGTGGGCGGGTGAGAAGTCCAGGTGGAAGAGAGCAGCGGCTCGTCAGTCCGGCCTGGTCTGCCTTCGTGTAGAGAAGTGAGGCGCCGCTGCAGGTGCTGACGGATCTAAGTAAGTTAAACGGAATATTGTTATCGGCTGTTTCTCGTTAATTCAAGGGATAACTGCCTTAATGTAATGAATATTTCCAATCTCCAAAATGTCTTCTAAAAAAATTAAGCATTAGGAATTTGTACCAATGAATAAACTCACAAAACTTCGACTTTTAATGTATAAAGTTACTGTCGCAAATTATTTTAAGACAAAACATTTTAGCACTTCCGATAGTAACTAAAACGAAAGTTAACGTCAGCAGACAGGAGATATTTACCTGAATTTAGCTTAGTGTCAGTTACTACTGCTAAGGCATAGGTTCAGCAACTTGAGTACCTCTGCAGGTGTTTGTTCCACCTACTGAAGCACTTCTGAACAAATGAAAACTTTATCAGAAAAACTATTCACATGTGCAATTGAAAATTTTTAATCTATCCCAAGAAGAATGTGACATTTACCGCGTTGCAACACGGAAAACTTCTTCGATAATTTGGGACAAGTCTTATATGATCAAAACAACAGAAAACATATATCCTAGTGTTCAGAATTCATGCATGGGCTTCCTAATTCACATTTAAAACTTCAGTTTCAAAAGTAATTACCCGGAGATAATAGTTGCTTATATACAAAACATATACACTGTGTACACAGTAAGTCTAACAATGTGGCTGAGAATTTGACACCAAACCCACACATTTGAAAATATAGTCAGTGACGACATTTCGGTCCGTCCCGGACCATTATCTAATTAAAGTGACGATGTTTCGGCCCATACTAGGTCATTATTTAATAAAAGGGCCGATGTTTCGGTCCGTCCTGGAATATTTCGCAATAAAAGTGACGTTTCGGTCCGTTCTAGATCATTATCTAATAAAAGCAACGACGTTTCGGTCAGTCCTGGACCATTATTAGGTCGTGTAAATAATGAACTTGATCCCTACAACATTGCTAAGTAACAAGCCATACATATAAAGATGCAACAAAGGGTCCATAGTAATGTCCACCATCCTGATATGGGCATCACTCTCGTTCATGGCCATTGTCTTCTGTATAAATGAGTCCCGTTTTCAGTAGCAGAAAATGTGACGATTTTCGTCCTCATAATAATGTTTATATTTCCAGGAAACTAGAGTGCGTGCAATAATGAAAATAACGGAAAATGGTGTAATATGTTTAAGACGATGAGCTACTGAGGATGAGTTTAAGAGGACCTACTGACCAGCAGGAAAACACTTCACGGCCAGCCATACGCTAGATGTACTGACCTAGTTGCATTCACCTAGTTGTGTTTGCGGGGGTTGAGCTTTGCCTCTTTGGTCCCGCCTCTCAACTGTCAATCAACTGGTGTACAGATTCTGAAGCCTATTGAGCTCTATCAAATCTACATTTGAAACTGGGTATGGAGTCAGCCTCCACCACATCACTGCCTAGTGCATTCCATTTGTTAACTACTCTAACACTGACAACATTCTTTCTAATATCTCTAGTGTAACGGCCAGCTATTACTCTTGATGTGAAAAAGTTCACAGGGAAACTGCCAAGTACACGAAGAGCAAATAGATACTAGCAAATAAATGAACACACATACATGGCGTGTACTCTCAGCCAGGTGAGTGCACTTGGTGTATCTGTCACTCACCACTCACTGTGTACTCACAATCAGCAGGAGAGTACACTAGAAGACGCAGACAAGAAAACATAAACAACAGCAACAAAGAAAGGAAGGAATATATGACCGAAAAAAGACACAGCAACAATTCGAGAAAGATATAAAATTTTGGATTAAAAACGCATCCTTCCCAGGATGCAGTCCCACAGTAGTTGACTACCTTCCGGGGTATCTATTTACTGCTAGGTGAGCAGAGGCATAGGTGATACGAAATCCTCAGTCATTTCTGTCAAGCTCGGCATTTGAACTCGTGATTCCCAAGAATGAACCCAAGTTAGAAACACTTCGTGTTAAAGAGTTAGAAATATATATATGGAACGTGTTAGACGAAGAAGTGGTTGATGCACTAAGGAAGGAATGTTGGGATGGCGGGCCAGGAGCCTGCAAGGTCATCTATGCCAGTGGGTGTAGGTGAGTCCCCCGGCTGGAGTAGCGGTCACCGGCCGGGCTGACCCGGGTGCGGTCGCTGGGGACGACCCAAGCGGAACTCTCACATTGTTTCGTTATCTTATATACTGTATGTGTATTAATATGTATTAATATGTATATATATATATATATATATATATATATATATATATATATATATATATATATATATATATATATATATATATATATATATCACTAGTATTAATATATATCACTAATAGCAGGAATCACTATAGTATTCCTGCTGTAGTTTTAGTGTAACTGCTGCCAAGTTTACCCGTCCCTCCACCACTCTGAACAAGTTAGGTGAGAAGGTGGTGGAGGCCAAGACCGTCAGTAGTTTCAAAGCGTTATATGACAAAGAGTGCTGGGAAGACGGGACACCACGAGCGTAGCTCTCATCCTGTAACTACACTTAGGTAATAAAATTACACTTAGGTAATTACTCACATGTCACAGAGGACATTGTCATATCTTGGAGATTTTGTATTGAGCACCATAACACCACCATGCCTCTCGCGTTAGTTATGAATTATTAATTTGTGCTTTCTTACTAAATATAGTTCCGGTCCCATGTCCTACAAACATATAAACTAGTTTCCGTCATTGCAGGAGGAGCGTGGATGGAGCATGGAACATCGGAGCATGAGGTGGGTGACAGAAAGACGCTCCCGGGCCGCCCTCACGCTGCTGCTACTGGCTGTTTTCATATACCTGATCACCCTCAGCACACACTCATCCAGCGGCGAGGAGCAGACCATCACTCTGGTCATGTCGGCCAGCGAGGCCCGGGCCCTCATGGCCGGCAGAGTTCCTCACTCCCTCTCTCAACCTCAAGATGTTGTCCAACCTGCGCACGACCTTGCGCAACCTCCTCCCTCTGCGCACAATACCACACCTCAGAGTCCAGACAAAACACAAACCTTAGACTTTGTTGTTATAAGAAATCGGGTATATTTTAATCGCTCGGCCGCTCAGGTGGAACAAATTAAGAAGAGTATACCTGTGAGAAAGACGGAGGAGAAGAAGTGGTCCAAGAAGCTGGAGCTGTCTGCTGGGGCCGCCTTGATGCTCCAAGACTTCTCAAAGTATGAACCTGAGGTAAGCCGCTCACCACACACACACACACACAAGGGCCCGGGTTCGATTCCCAGCCGAGGCAGAAACAAATGGGCAGAATTTCTTTCGCCCAGATAACCCTGTTCACCTAGCAATAAATAGGTATCTGGGAGTTAGACAGCTGCTACGGGCTGCTTCCTGGAGATGTGTGTGTGTGTGCATGTAAGTTAGAGAAATATACGTAGTAGATATAATAGAGGACATAGACTGGTTAGAAAGGCGAGGTCCAAGAGCTAATAGCGCGATTCTGCAGGTACAAATTATAAATACACACACACGCGAAAGTAAATCAACACCGAGAAGATTTACCTGGATTTACCTGAAATCCGCAATCTCTAGTAGCCACGAGGGGACGAGGAAGTTGGTGGCTTGTCAATGTTGTCATCATTATTCCTGTGGAGTTTGTCGGAGTTGTCGCTCATCGCACGTGCATGGCACAGTTGATGAATATGGCTCATCTTATTCATCATCTCAGCTCACTGCTGAGAAATTATTGGTGAACCTCGCGTGGCTGACTCAGTAGTCTGAGCAGTAACGTCTTGTATAGTGAAGCAGGACATTCAATGACTGTTGACCAGACCACACAGTAGAAAGTGAAGGGACGACGACGTTTCGGTCCGTCCTGGACCATTCTCAGGTCCTGTATTCAATGACTTATGGTACCTTGCAGATGACCCCTGGCCACGAGGCTTGACCTGAGGACTGAATGCAACTGAATGCAACTCTTGCAACTGAATATCTCTTGCACATTCTTGAATGAAAAAATATACATTCACTTACAAAAGATTCATTCCACAAAGTTTGATGCCATTCTTAATCTCTTCGTCTTATAAATTATATGAGTAAAGATTCAAATTATATGAACTGTTACTGAGGAATCAGGGAGCTGCTACTGAGGAATCAGGAAGCTGCTACTTAGGAGCCAGGGAGCTGCTACTTAGGAGCCAGGGAGCTGCTACTGAGGAATCAGGGAGCTGCTACTGAGGAGCCAGGGAGCTGCTACTGAGGAATCAGGAAGCTGCTACTTAGGAGCCAGAGAGCTGCTACTTAGGAGCCAGGGAGCTGCTACTTAGGAGCCAGAGAGCTGCTACTGAGGAGCCAGGGAGCTGCTACTGAGGAGCCAGGGAGCTGCTACTGAGGAGCCAGGGAGCTGCTACATAGGAGCCAGGGAGCTGCTACTGAGGAGCCAGGGAGCTGTTACTGAGGAGCCAGGGAGCTGCTACTGAGGAGCCAGGGAGCTGCTACTGAGGAGCCAGGGAGCTGCTACTGAGGAGCCAGGGAGCTGCTACTGAGGAATCAGGGAGCTGCTACTGAGGAATCAGGGAGCTGCTACTGAGGAATCAGGGAGCTGCTACTGAGGAATCAGGGAGCTGCTACTGAGGAATCAGGGAGCTGCTACTGAGGAATCAGGGAGCTGCTACTGAGGAATCAGGGAGCTGCTACTGAGGAATCAGGGAGCTGCTACTGAGGAATCAGGGAGCTGCTACTGAGGAATCAGGGAGCTGCTACTGAGGAATCAGGGAGCTGCTACTGAGGAATCAGGGAGCTGCTACTGAGGAATCAGGGAGCTGCTACTGAGGAATCAGGGAGCTGCTACTGAGGAATCAGGGAGCTGCTACTGAGGAATCAGGGAGCTGCTACTGAGGAATCAGGGAGCTGCTACTGAGGAATCAGGGAGCTGCTACTGAGGAATCAGGGAGCTGCTACTGAGGAATCAGGGAGCTGCTACTGAGGAATCAGGGAGCTGCTACTGAGGAATCAGGGAGCTGCTACTGAGGAATCAGGGAGCTGCTACTGAGGAATCAGGGAGCTGCTACTGAGGAATCAGGAAGCTGCTACTTAGGAGCCAGGGAGCTGCTACTTAGGAGCCAGGGAGCTGCTACTTAGGAGCCAGGGAGCTGCTACTTAGGAGCCAGAGAGCTGCTACTTAGGAGCCAGGGAGCTGCTACTTAGGAGCCAGGGAGCTGCTACTTAGGAGCCAGAGAGCTGCTACTTAGGAGCCAGGGAGCTGCTACTTAGGAGCCAGGGAGCTGCTTCTTAGGAGCCAGGGAGCTGCTACTGAGGAGCCAGGGAGCTGCTACATAGGAGCCAGGGAGCTGCTACTGAGGAGCCAGGGAGCTGCTACATAGGAGCCAGGGAGCTGCTACTTAGGAGCCAGGGAGCTGCTACATAGGAGCCAGGGAGCTGCTACTTAGGAGCCAGGGAGCTGCTACATAGGAGCCAGGGAGCTGCTACTTAGGAGCCAGGGAGCTGCTACTTAGGAGCCAGGGAGCTGCTACTTAGGAGCCAGGGAGCTGCTACTTAGGAGCCAGGGAGCTGCTACTTAGGATCAATAATCTGCACTAGTATCGCAACCTTTCAAATAGATAAAACCATGACTAAATTGATAAAGTCCGGCGATAACCAAATTACACAACACTGCATGATTGGCATCTTTATTAGGAGATAACTTCCGAACCTCGTTGGTTACCAGGCGCTCAAGTTTGGGTTAACTGAGGGTCATTGTTTTGTAATTGTAAATTTTGCTGGGAATATTTTTTAAAAAGTTTGCGCATATTACACATCTGTTTGTCTGTGTCTGTCTCTCATGAACTAGTCCTCAGCAGATGTTACTCCGCCACCACAGGAGCGGGAGTTCATGGAGAGTCGTGTGCAGGAAATGGTGGAGAGGACGCGGCAGGTGAGGAAAGCATGTCAGGTGAAGCCCAAGCTGGAGCCCGTCTCCAGCCACATGGTGTGGGACGACAAGCACAGCGTCGTCTGGTGTCCCAACTACAAGGTGAGAGTTGCTGCCTGTCACGCCGGGAGTAGAGGTCAGGGTCAAGGGCTTATACGGTAGGCGGCGGAGTCGTCCTCGTGTAACAAGCATCAGAGAAAGGAACTTCCGCAGCAAATGAAGGGCTGGAGTATCAAAAATAATCTGTAGTGCAGAGGTCATAGAAAGGATGGGGGGGGGGGAGGATTCCACTCCAGAGAAGAGGTCCCACTGTAGAAAAAAGGGTCTCGCAGTATTGAGGAACCCCACAATATAGAAGGAGAAGTCCACGACGGAGAAGGAGGGTGGCAAAGGTTCCAACGAAGTGGTCTCAGTATACAAAAAAGTGTGAACGTGAGATTAGGAACCAGAGGGTACGATAGGAAGTACAAAGGACGGGGGATGAAGCTAGAGGATACATTTCAGATGAGAGAGGAGGAAGCAAGGGAAAATAATAGGGTGTAGAGAGAGAGAGGATGAAAGCAAGAGTAGAGTATGGGTGTAGAGGGATAGAGGAGGAAGCCACAGGGTACAGTAGAGGGGGTCTGGGGGAGAGGAGTAAGCAAGATGGTAAAGTAGTGGGTCTAAGAGAGGGGAGGAGGAAGCCAGAGGGACCAGGATAGGTGTAGAAGGGGAGATGGAGTATTGCTGGAATATTATTAAATTATACGGTAATTTATACTAACATATTGTGGTAATAACTGAATATAGATAATACAAAGCGAGAGGAACTGAAGAAGATTGGAGTTAATAAGAATTAATAATGCTGGCAGCTAATCTTAAGTCAGTGGTTGTTGTTGTTGTTATAGATTCAGCTACTCGGAACAAGTTCCAAGTAGCACGGGCTATAGTGAGCCCGTAACTTACCTGGCACAGGAGCGGGGCAAGTAGCACGGGCCAAAAAAAAAAAAAGTCATTGGTGTTGACGTTCCTCTTTCAAGCACCGGATAGCAGTGTTGCCATGTTCTACCACAACAAGTGATTATCACTGGTTATTCACTCTTTCTCATCACGCCAAGTTGTGGAGGAAGAGAGGTTGGATTATTCCGTGATAACATGTAATATTCACGACAGTGTTGTGCTGCCAGTTACACATTTTCCCGCTAAAAGAATGATGAGGAATATATGGTGACGCGGAGAAAGTCGGAGCGTGTTGTCTGGCGGGAGCGTCGGTGGCGGGAAGTGGAACAATCATATGTGTTCCAGCCAACCATGATATGGCGAATTTCATGGGATCATTGATCATAGGAGCAATGGTAGCACAGGAGCATGCTCCACAACATCCCACACTGCTTGTTGGGCACGTTTCCTTTTCACCTCATGCCTTTGTTCACCTAGCAGTAAATAGGTACCCGAGAGTTAGACAATTGTGCAGGGGATGTATCCTGGGGAGGGTCAGGAGTTCCACCTTGGGGGACCTCGATGCAAGGCTAAAGTATATACTCTGTATACACAGGCTTCCTGTCCCCGACAAAATGATTTAATAATAATTATTATTATTATTTACAACCCGTTTTCTATAATTAACTCATTTTCTTAATCCACCACCATTTTTGAATACTCATCGCTAATGTCCAATATCCACCACAAGTCCGTTGTCTGAAGGCGACTCGTCTGGACTCGACGTTTGTAAGCCAATATTACGTAGAAAAGATAAGACTGTACTAATACCGGCTGTATAATTCTGCATTGTAATGCAGGCGTTCTTATCCTCAATCTCTTGCGCCAGGTGAGAGATAAGCTAGGCTATCATACGAAGGCGCCATGCCAGTTTGAGTATACATCATACACACGAGACAGGGGGTGACGAGCGGAGCACCGCAGGGTACAGTATTAGGACCCATACTGCAAGTTTGATCCTACACAGCAATGCTCGCTGGTCCGATTTACTGCAAGGTAGACAAGGGCATTAGGTGATAGGAAACGCGCCCAACCATCCCGGGATTCTCGATTGTGGGTTGAGAACGAAGCCGACTATGCTACCAGGACCCTTCATCTATCATTGACTATCTCCAGGATGCATATCACAACAGTTGACGAAGACCCGGGTACCTGTTTAGTGCTAAGTGAACAGAGGCATCAGGTGTAAGATGTGGCCAAAGGACTCGTCCTGCCCGGGAAGTGAACCCGGTACCATTTGGGTGTGAGTCGACCGCGCTGAGCAATGCCCTCCAAGAGCAGCGTCATGCACAGTATTGCTGAGCTGAATACACAATGTTTACCTGACTTTAATGTTATGGACAAGCACACCTCACCCCCCCCCCCCCTACCTCCCTCACACCTCTACCTCCCTCACACCCCTAGCTCCCTCACACCTCCCTCACACCACTACCTCCCTCACACCTCACACACCCCTACCTCCCTCACACCTGCACACTCCGTCAAACCTCTCACACACCATTGCATACTTCTCATACACTCTTGCACACCTTCCCCCAAACCTTCAGACTCCCCCCCCCCCGCCAAGTACTCTTGCTGGCTGGTCAGTAAGCTAGGGTGATGGCCTCAATAACCCTCATGTGGGTGGTAGTCCTTAAGCCCAACACCAGACAAAAACAAAAGAAGTACACGAGAATATAGCACGACAACAAACTATCAAAGCCAGAGTACAAAAACCCGTAGACAAACAAATAGATAAACGAGAAATGGAACAAATAAATGTCCATTTGTTCAAATGGAACAAGTAAAGTTAAGCAAGCACCGGAGGTGTCATCAACCGGAGAGGTCATGCAAGGATATTAGAGAAACATTTATGCAGTAAGACCCACAAGCACACGGCCATAAACTATAGAACAGTTTCCTCTTGAGGTTATCTTGAGATGATTTCGGGGCTTTAGTGTCCCCGCGGCCCGGTCCTCGACCAGGCCTCCACCCCCAGGAAGCAGCCCGTGACAGCTGACTAACACCCAGGTACCTATTTTACTGCTAGGTAACAGGGGCATAGGGTGAAAGAAACTCTGCCCATTGTTTCTCGCCGGCGCCCGGGATCGAACCCAGGATCACAAACCCAGCGTGCTGTCCGCTCGGACGACCGGCTCAACGGACGACCGGACCGGTTTCCTTAACATGCGTTCACCGTAAAGCAGGAGAGTAAATGACCACGAAGACATTAGGCGAGAGCCAACGATATAACGGGGAGAAGGGAATTTTCAGGTGAGAGCGCCAAGCCTGTACGACTATATAGCACTGGGAAAGGGATCAGGATATCATTCAGCACCGCTCCTGTGCCAGGTAAGTCCACTACGGGCTCACAATAGCCCGTGCTACTTGGAACTTGTTCCGAGTAGCTGAATCTATAACAACGACCAGGATATGGATTTGGGATGGGACGGGGGGAAGGAATGGTGCCCAACCACTTGTGTTCGGTCGGGGATTGAACGCCGACCTGCATGAAGTGAAACCGTCGTTCTACCGTCCAGCCCAAGTGGTTGGGAGAGCACGCTGTAAAAGAGGTCAGATAGTGCCTGATGAACCTGCTAGAGTTCTACCACAAGCGCAGAAATCACAATAACGTGATGCACCGAATGAACAAATAAGTTCAGTAGAACTTCGGTTTCAACTCTTTTTAACCATGTCGTAGCTCAGTCGATTAAGGCAGCGTCTGGGATGCTCTTGGACGCAGGTTTGAATCCTCGTCACGGCCCTTGTGGGCTCGTACCATACGAGCCAAACGGTTGCGTACATGCATTTGTAAGACACTACACACAGAAATCACAATAGCGTGATGCATCAAATGAACGCATCCACAAGGGCCGTGATGAGGGTTCGAACCTATGTTCGAGTTCGTCTTGTTGGAGACAGGAAGCCTGTGTATAATTATACCTTAGACTTGTATCGAGGTTCCCCCAAGGTCTAACTAATGACTCTTCCCAGAACGCAACCCTACAACAGTTGTCTAACTCACCGCCACTTATTTACTGCTTAGTGAAAAAAGAGGCATTAGATGAAACAAAACGTGTCCAACCATATCTGTCCCCACCGGGAATCGAACCCAAGATCCCCGATTGCGAGTCGAAAACGAAGCCAACTGTACTACAAGATTTGTCCCTCAGGGCCGAGTCCTTACACTTCATTCTGTGGATAATCTACACAAACGACCAACCTGAATTTTAATGATATACTACAAATCAATCCCAGCAGATGGTGGAAAGCTAATGAGAGGCTTCAAGACCAAGGAGGAGTCGTAGACTGCTGGGGGAGTGGGCGGCCAAATGATTGGAAGATTGATTGATTGATAAAGATTAAGCCACCCAAGAGGTGGCACGGGCATGAATAGCCCGTAAGACCGGAAGAGTTTAGTCCCGGCAAGTGTAAGATAATGAAACTTAAGTGGGGAAAGTAAGAAAACAGCTACATAAATCAGAGATAAAGATTTGGGAGAGGAACAAACACCGGAAAAACGTAAATGATAACATTCAGCCGGTCCTCTCCAGCGTTCCCAACGTCATTAAACTCTTGCACTAAATTTTGCCTGAACCTAACGTACCCGAGGACCTCGAATAGAAAACGGGACATCACGTCAATTTTGTGGGCCGCTATGATTTGTAGTACATCAGTTTTTGGCCTCAGAGGAATTATACGTCAAAATGCGGTGTAGTGTTGGAGAGGCCGAGTTGAACATCAACGGCCCACACAAGCTGGTGAACACCAGAACAGCTTTAAGAACTTTAACAAGGACTCTTTTATGACAATGCATAGCATACGTTATCAGTTGAACAGCCCTATTAAAGAGGACAACAGTGGTCACCCGGACCTCGTTACTAATTGCGAAGGAGACCACGTAACAGTTCAAGTTTATTTTTTGTACACGGGTACAGGAACAGCTGACTTCTTTTACAAGGCTTCAGGGAGCCCCAAAATGTAGGTCCGCCACTGCTAAAAAGCGTTATTTTGTGTTCTGAAAGAGGATAAAAAAAAAGTCTTACAATACATACGATAAAAAACCAGTCAAACTAGTTATCCCGTTGGGAAGAGCAGCAGCGCGGAGCCGTCCGGTTCAGCGGTCGCAGCAATAACAACTTGTTTAGCACTTGTGTGAGGCTTCCTCCGGGTACTGCTGACTTGCCGCGTCAGGCCAAGGAATGTGTGCACCGAGAGATAATGTACTACTGGGTGTATATACACTGGGAAGAATTTACTATATTCATGAGCTGTGTTCGAGGGTCTAAGGAATACTTGCCGGTTGGTCAAGACACTCTTGTGTAGTCTTGATAACCTTCCAGCGGTTTGACAGGTTAAGCTTAACACCAAACAATAATCAAACTAACTTGCATTAACTATATGGGAAAGTGGGCCAGTCAGAGGCTTTAGGGCCCGCGCAGGAATATCCGTGAAAAAAAATATGGGAAACCCATCCTCAGGTTTGGAACGTCCGTGAGGATTCCCCAGTCCTAACGGTGCATATTTGTTTCAGTACAGTTATAAATAAATCACAAATTTAAAATATATTTGTATATATTATCGTTTGGTGTTATGGCAAGGGCAGGTTATGTTATATGTATAGTTCTGTTGGTAATTTGAATGCCAACCGATACTCGGCCTATAGGTTCGTCAAGGTTGTGTGTTATTCAGTTATTTTCCATACGGTGAAATAAAAAAACGATATTTCCCACAACATGAATTAATATAACTGTTTATAATCAGGTCAAGGTCAGGATAGGTGTTTTGGTTATGTAGACAGATCCTTGTACTGCCTGTCTGATGAACGGCAATTTGAGGCGCTAGAGGAAGGGGGATGTACTGTGTCATCATGGAGGCAACCATGCATGCAGGCACGCCCGAACACCGCACTCCGGTACAACCATACCAATTACCAACATGTTCCCATATGCACAAGCTCGCTTACGGGCTATTCATGCCCATGCCGCCTCTTGGGTGGCTTAATCTTTATCAGTCACATGTTCGCTAGCCCGTGCGGGGTCCAGGCGCCATAGCTCGTATCCTGCAAATGTTATTATGTAAGAAATATTATATAGATGAACATGAATGCCAGTACACACCTATGTGAGCACTGTATGACTAGGCTAGACAAGCGTTATAACTTGCCCATTCAAATTTGAATTAAAATCCCGTGTAATTTATATACATAATTTGCAAGCGGAATTTATAATATTTATTTCGAGACATTTCTAAGGTGATATGCTCTATACAAACTGGGCTTGCAAATGGAAAGTTGAGTCAATATGGAAAGCAACACATGCATAATTAACAGACTTTGTTAGGCTTACGTTTTATTTTAATATCTTTCGGTTTGCATGAATTTGCATTGTTATTTGAAATCCACTTTGTGTACAGGGATTGTAATTCTTATTACAATAATGCAGGTTGATAATTTTAGGTTTATGTAAATTCAGATAAGAGAAAAATACGAGTACACAGAGTTTGTATTGTAACCTGTAATGTTAGCCAAGTTGAGATTTGTCAAGAAATAAATTTGAATTCATATGCAGATATCATTTAGGAAACTTAGAAAAGTGTTAGGGAATAATTAATAGGTTTTGTTAGCCCCCTAGCAAGTGCATTAGCAATATATTGCAGATTCTTCAAAGTGACTTATAAAGAGACAGGATGGAAGTATTATACTCAAATAACTACTATGTATTGGGGTAAAGTTTTGTATTAGAATTGTTGTTTATGCCTGTTTAGAGGAGTACAGATTATCATTTAGGGGTTATGTAATTATTATGTTTAGAGATTAACTGGCCTAAATGACCGTTATTGCAGATATGGCAACACAATGTTTATCTCTCAGAATGTTCGGTAATACGTTTATTGCTTGTGATGTGTGTCTATGTATGTATTAACACGATGTACTGAACGGGGTGAGAATAGCTTGAGCTACCTCATCCCTTTGTGTGTATTTTACCTCTATAAACTTATTTCAATTTCAAATGGAGGGGAAAGGGGGAGGGGGTAGCCAAACTGTTCCCCTGCTTTAGTTAAATCTCTTAGATGCAGTGTGGACTTGATCACTGCAGTATTTGTTGACCATTAATCTAATTTTCACTTAAGTATCTTAATCAGTTTTTGTATGTTGTTGCTGAGTTTAACAATAATTAGTACTATTGATTTATTACAAGTGCATAAAGTGTTTATATTTAGTTATAAATTATTATAACAAACTTTGAACACTTTGAGTGTTGGCACAAGATTTTGTCTAGGTGCTAGTGAGGTTTTTGCCTGTGATTATATTACCCATTCGTTCCTGCAGATTGGAACTGGGATCTTAGCTGGTACCATTGTGAATAATCCATAATTCCCAGCTTATAGTATAATTCATATTTCCGAATGAAATGTCAAATTTTGGCTGGTAGTCCAAACTTCTTCTATATATATATCCCTAGACGCCAGGGTTTCAGATATTCAATGTGGGATGTATTAGTGTAGGGCATGAATGCGAGATGAGGAATGCCATAGGTGCTAATAATTCATAACAAGCACTTGCCCAAGTACACTACCAGGTGAGCACGAACACTAGTACACAACCAGGTGAGCACGGACACAGGTACACCCCCAGGTGTCTTGCTGACCCTAGCGTGGCTGGTGTGGTCCGTGTGGTATCCATATGCAACATGGTGTGGGTGTTGCAGGTGGCGTCCACCACCTGGATGATCAACTTCCTCAAGTTGGCGCACTTCAACGATGACAACCCGGCCATCCCTGACGTGCCGCCTGAGGAGAAAGAGAAACTTAAGTACTTGGTGAGTGGCGCTTACTGGTTTATTAGTTCTCTGATGGGTACTCTGCCTTTTAGTTCTCTAGTAGGCATTCCTTTACTAGTTCTCTAGTAGACATTCCTTTACTTGTTCTCTGGTAGGCACTCTGCTTTATTAGTTTTCCAGTGTGCACTCTGCTTTATTCTTTCTCTGCTGCATTTATTAATATTGTTGCCTCTTGTGTGACTGTTAAAGTCTCTTGTATTCCTTACAGAGCTTCTCGCTGGATTAGTATTTGCTGTGCCTGCTGATGTGTACATTGCTTTCCTTAGGCATTCTCTTCATCGCTTTTATGCTATAGGTCATATCTGTGTGTTGCTGCTCGTGTAGCGAGCTGCTCTAGTCGTTTCCTTGCTTCTGATTTTACCTGAATTTGGCCTGTGGGTCACCAATACTAGTGGCCTCGATGAGGACAGGAAGCCTACGGCTGTACTGTGTTAGACGGTTACCCTCAGGTAAATTCTTTGTGGTGCGTACGTACCCAGGACTAAATACAGTCCGGAGATGCAAGCGAGAATAGGCTGCAGAGGACAGGCATCCCAGGACAACAACTTCACGTCTTGTACCTTTTCATATATGCATCAACACAAAATATTTAGATGTTGTAATTATCGATTATAATGCTTCTCATTAAACGTGACGGGAAAATGACAGATAATTGAGTAATATATTCAGTTTAAATTAAAAACAATATGGTGAGAATAATACAGTGTGTGTTGCTAGCCCAAGTACGGTGCCCGCCATGATGTTGTCAACGACATCTACCCGGTGCCACCCACACCAGCCCTCAAGCTCGAGTTCTTGAAGAAAAGCTTTAGAGTTATCATCGTCAGGCATCCCTTCACCAGGTACGTTACTTAGCTGATAATACTTACACAAACAGGTATATTGTAATCAAAAGGTAGACAGGTGGGATGAACCGGGTGGGTAAGCTATACAAAGGGATTGCACAGTTACCATGCATGCACAAAAATGTACGTCAACAATCTACCAGTAAGTGCATTTATAGTTGCTGTTCCTTCCACGTTTAAGGTCCTGACGGGAATGTTTTGCTTATACATGCAGGATCCTCTCGGCGTACCGAGACAAGATGACCAAGGAGCACCCACTGCCGCCAAAATTTGGCTTCAAGAAGTTGCAGCAGGATATCATGGCCAAGTATCGAACCCACAATAGCAGTGAGAGTTACCCCTTCCCGACCTTTGCGGAGTTTGTCCAGTATATCATCGACACGACTGCCAATTTCACCTCCATTCAACAATGGAGGAAGAATGTAAGTACTTCATGGGTAATATAATATTACGGCACGATCAAACAATGTATATTCCATGGTAGACGCTCAAGTACACAGACGTTAACTAAAGTCACACTTGTAAAACGAATAAGTAATACATAATTGAATATGCATAACTAAAGTGAACAGAACGAAGTGAATATTAACTTGTAGAGAAAATATAATTATAAATGCGTAAAGGCACAAATAAACTAGCAGTACAGAGTAGGAACTGAACAGTATTTAACACAGAGTAAACAGTATGAAGTAAACAATTAAAAATAAAGATGTATGTTTGTGTATGCACGATGGGGGGGGGGGGGGGGGGTGAAGGGATCCGGCATGAGCCTCTCCCATCGCCAGTACGGCGGCCAGAGAGAGACCAAAACCCTGGAAAGTGCCTAAGAACAAGATGGGGGACAGGGAGCGCCGGGACCAAGAGGGGAAGAGGGGGCCACAGGGATGGGGAGCAGAGGAACACCAACACTGGGAAAGGGGAAAACTCCGGAGCAACATTGAGACGCACAAACGGAGTACAGTAGTGAGTTTTAATTAATGTTGCTCCGGAGTTTTCCCCTTTCCCAGTGTTGGTGTTCCTCTACTACCCATCCCTGCGGCCCCCCCCCCTTTCCCTCTAGGTCCCGGCGCTCCCTGTCCCCCACGCACAAACGGACAAACTGTACTCGGAGGTGGCAAAGCAGGAGGCTCGTCGACTGCCGCCAAGTTGGAGGCGGAGGGGAGTCTGGGACCAGCAAGCGCCGCGGTGCTGCCGACATACTCGTCCTCGACCTTCCGGTGCTGCTCGGGTTGTACAAGAATTCCCAGGACCTGGCAGACCTCCACGTACCCAGGACCTGACAGAAATGTTGACCACACCACACACTAGAAAGTGAAGGGACGACGATGTTTCGGTCCGTCGAAACGTCGTCGTCCCTTCACTTTCTAGTATGCGGTTTGGTCAACATATTTCAACCACGTTATTGTGACTCCTCGTCTGCACCTGGCAGAACTCCTCGTACCCAGGACCAAATACAGTCCGTAGATGCAAGGGAGAATAGGCTGCAGAGGACAGGTATTCCAGGACAACAGCGGGACACAGTGTGAACCCTGAAACAACTTACAGAGCGCGTCCTCTAGAGAGTGGGCAGTAGAAACTAACAGGGGAAGGACGTACGATTTGGGCACGGATCGTCGATTGTCCGCTACTGTTAACCAGAGTTATAACCATAATATTTGATTTATAAAAAAATAGAGGATCAGATTACAGTGGCTATTTAATTGAGTACATGAAGTCAATATAGGCTTATGAAGGTTCCCCTAGAGGACCTTAGCTAGAAACTGACCTTTCTCAGGATACGATCCAAAGCAGTTGCCTTACTGTCAGGTATTGATTTGGTTATTGTTTGGTGAACAGAGACATCAGGTGAAAGTAACGTTACCCACCCGTTTTCTTCCTGCCGGAACTTTTCGGTTGTACAGACTGCGTTGGCCATTGCGCTGAACAAGAGGACCAAGATTCATCATGCATTTACGCAACTACTTATGAAACCTGTATATCTTTCAACGATTATGGCCGGTTTGTTAACATTTATAAAACAGTTTATGAGCTCCAAAGCACACCGAGTTTGTTTATAACAATAATAACCTTGAATTGTGAAGTACCGAACGAAGTTTGTAAGCTGTTTAATAAATGTAAACAAAGTGGTCATAATTGTTGAAAGATGTATAGCTTTTGTAAGTGGTTGTGTAAATGTTTATTGAATCCTGGCCCCGGTTGTGACCTAATTGGCAGATCGTGCTCCAGGTTTAAGATGAGCTGTAGGGAGAGAGAACCCTTAAAAAGAATCACCTTATGGTTTCGTATACAGTTGGGGCAGAAAGTCTGTTAGGTTTATCAAGGTCCCGCTAAGCATTCACCAGGATGCAAGCTACAACAACTGTCTAGCTCCCAGATACCTATTCACTGCTAGGTAAACACAGGCATCAGGGGAAGATAAACGTGCCAAACCTTCTGTCCCGTTCGAGGATCGAACTCGCGCCGGTCCGTCTTCACGAGGTACAATGGTAACAGCCTAATGGACAGGAATTACATTCATCACACATACGAACACAACGTCATGGGGCAGATTGTAATCTATCGTGTGAAACAATCAGTAACACTAGGCTGTTTCACATGAATGTCTTTTTGTGTTAAACAATGAGGATTATGTTTGGATTTACCTGAAATAACTGAGGGTGGTTGACGGTGTATGGCCGACAGGTGAAGTGCTGGGTGCCGTACTGGGCGCAGTGCGGCGTCTGTACCAACGACTTCAACGTCATCATGAAACTGGAGACGATGGCTGACGACGAGAGGTTCTTCATCACCCTAGCCAACCTCGAGGAACTCAAGGTTAGTCAATGCCACAGTTGGATTATTATGCCCAAGGAACACAGCAGTCAAAAGGAAGCTGGGTGTAGTGGTGTTTACAATTTAAGTTACAAGTTAACTTAAGTTTAGTTACAATCAAGATTGTAACTTGCTTAGCTAAATGAATTGTGGGGTTCATGCAGTTCCTGAGCCCATTACAGCCTCTGTAACCCTTTCCACTACCGCCCACAATATGGGTATGGGGTGCATAATAAATGAACTAAACTAACTTGGTGCTAACTTATCTTGCGTGTTGTAAGGGCAGGGAAAACTGTTGGTGTGCTCAGTGTTGCTTGGTGATTGTTGGAGGTGTGCTCAGTGTTGCTTGGTGATTGTTGGAGGTGTGCTCAGTGTTGCTTGGTGATTGTTGGAGGTGTGCTCAGTGTTGCTTGGTGATTGTTGTGTGCTCAGTGTTGCTTGGTGATTGTTGGAGGTGTGCTCAGTGTTGCTTGGTGATTGTTGGAGGTGTGCTCAGTGTTGCTTGGTGATTGTTGGAGGTGTGCTCAGTGTTGCTTGGTGATTGTTGGAGGTGTGCTCAGTGTTGCTTGGTGATTGTTGGAGGTGTGCTCAGTGTTGTTTGGTGATTGTTGGAGGTGTGCTCAGTGTTGCTTGGTGATTGTTGGAGGTGAGACAAGGTGCGGTCACCGTTGTGTTGCTTATTGGAAGTGAGAGGCAAGGTGTGCTCAATGTTGTTCCGCATGTTGCAGACTGCTGGTGAATGGCGGCACTTGAGGAACGTGTCGTCGTCGCAGGCGGCGCCGCAGTACTACACCCAGCTCACCCGCCGCCAAATGCTGGACCTCTACCACCGATACCAGCTCGACTTCGACCTCTTCGGTTACAATGTTGACGAGTATTTGCCGATGGCCAAGGACCACGCCTCCCTTCACTGATGCTACCACATCACTACACTTCCCTACATTATCATCTTCATCATGTTTTAATGGTTTTGTTTTCCATCCCGACAATAAACTTTAAATAATAAAAAAGAGCTCTAAATCCAATCAACGATTTCATATTCTTGGGTGTAAATAAAGAATAAGATTTGTAGATATTAATAATAATATTTTATGATTGTATCTATAAAAAGACTATGGTACATCCTTGCCTTAAATACTGAATGAAAAAAATATTTCTCATACAACTTTTAAATGCTGCATTGAACGAGAGACCATGCTGATAGAGATGAAAATTGTTTTAGAGCAGATTATGATGGACCGATGAATTACTTGGGGAGGTTACACAAGGCAAGTCTGATGAACATGAAGAGGCGGGCTGATGATTAAAATACAACAGATGAACTTAAGGAAAGTCCTAGGGGGAGGGGGGAGACAAACCTTGATAGCAATTGTGTTGACAAAAATAACTAGAATGACTACAATTGCAATATATCCCAGGGACTATCAGACTAGTCCAAAAAGGTTAAGACTTACAGTTATCATTATTGATGCAAAAATCCTGCACAGACTATGTAACAGAAATCATTTAAATAGGAGATAAAGTGGCCAACACTTTGATCTATAGCCCCACAGAGAACCACAGAAGAATATGAAAATACCCAAAACTTTAATAGAGCCTGCATTAACATTCATAGTGTGTGGCAATCTACAAAGTAAACCTGCTAATAATTGGAAACTTCAGTCACAGCCAAATTGACTGGGAAACAATGGAGAGAAGTTTGCATATGATGATATGTATAAAGGTACTTCCTGATGCAATATGTAAAGAAGTAAACAAGATCTTACTGTAAGAATCATAGCTTCCCTGCTCATACTGACCTTAACAACACCTCTCTTGTTCCTAGACACTTAAGTCTTCAAAATATATTTTCTGTTTAAATGTTAAAATTATTTGTTTGGGGGGGGGGGGGGGGGGGGGGTGCAAAGTGATGTGTGTTGAAATGCTAACATTATTTTTGGGGTGAAGGGGGGGGGGAACCAAAGGAACTTTATTTAAATTTTAAAATTATTCATGAGGAAGATGGGGCTAAAGGAATGCATTTAAATTATATATCTATTTATGAAGGGTCTCAATGGATGTTTAAATGTTACATTAGATTTATTGTGTGGAGGAGGTGGAGGATCCATCCCTGGTGCAAAATTCATGAGGTATGCCTCTGCACTCTTCCTTCTACTTGACACCTTCGGCTTCAATCTTTAACTGACTACATTGGCTCGCCTCGCAGTGTCTCCTTTTGTTTTAACTATTGCATTCTAGTATTTTGTCATTTATTCTACGAGGTTAAAGTTCTGTACAAATGTTATGTGTGGCATCTTATCAAACGTTTTAGAGAACTTCATGTACACTACATGTACCAAGAGTCCTTTGTCTACTGTAGTTGGTTACTGCTTCCAGAAATGTGAGCAGGTTAGTTATACAGGATTGATCTTTTACAAAACTCAAGGCACCTACCCTGGAGAGCAAAGAACAAGAGCCTGTATAGCATGGGGCATGCAGCTTAACCGACCAACAGTCAACAACCTCCATGCCAAAAGTCATAACAGCTGCGAGCTAATTTGCTTTCTGGAAGGAATTTCTTGGTACAGTATGGTGATGATCTCTGACCCCAACCTCCCCCTTCATCTCTTTAAGGGGGGAGGGGCAAATTCTGGTCCTGGTCTTGAGTAGACATTCTTAGGTCATAGATATCTGGTGTATTCCTCATGGCTTAGATGCTCTCAGCTGTAGCACTGGGTAGCTGCTGAGGAGCCCCTCCCAGAAAATATGTTGTACACACTAGAATTTAAGATGGTTCATGACAACATTATTTTAAGGTTACCACGGTCCTGTACCATTTCTAGTTCATTTCACAGCTTGACATATTAATTTCTCCAAAAGTAAGAAATGATAGTTGCCCCTTGCTCGTGGCTATAGAGAGTGCTGTACTGTAATTATTCATGACTTTTTTTTTTAATTTTGTATATTGGACCATACCTCATACATAAGCATTATCTTATAGTACATAATTACACCAGTAATTTAAAGACTTTATTATAATAAAACCTTCAATAGTGGTAATGACATAATATCACAGATTTTTCTGGAGATGCGGATATTATCATCACAATACCTCCTCAATATCATAAGACCAATAATGTACATATACTGCAGTGTATAAACATCATTAGTATACATTTTTTAAGATAATATACACATATAAAGACCATTAGTGTTCACATATGAAGACCATTAGTGTTCACATATGAAGACCATTAGTGTTCACATATGAAGACCATTAGTGTTTACATATGAAGACCATTAGTGTCCACATATGAAGACCATTAGTGTCCACATATGAAGACCATTAGTGTCCACATATGAAGACCATTAGTGTCCACATATGAAGACCATTAGTGTCCACATATGAAGACCATTAGTGTCCACATATGAAGACCATTAGTGTCCACATGTGAAGACCATTAGTGTTCACATATGAAGACCATTAGTGTCCACATGTGAAGACCATTAGTGTTCACATATGAAGACCATTAGTGTCCACATATGAAGACCATTACTGTTCACATATGAAGACCATTAGTGTTCACATATGAAGACCATTAGTGTCCACATGTGAAGACCATTAGTGTTCACATATGAAGACCATTAGTGTCCACATGTGAAGACCATTAGTGTTCACATATGAAGACCATTAGTGTCCACATGTGAAGACCATTAGTGTTCACATATGAAGACCATTAGTGTCCACATATGAAGACCATTACTGTTCACATATGAAGACCATTAGTGTTCACATACGAGGACCATTAGTGTTCACATGTAAATAATTCTAAAACATTTAACCGGTAAAATATATTCTTGCGTCTCTTACAACACACACAACTTGTTTCATGATCTGTCCCGTAAGACATTTTTCCCAATAGCCTAAACTCTACTCAAATCAAGGAGACCTCATCATTATCCTTTTATAATCCAACATTAGCTAGTATGGAAGGCAATATAAATATGAGATCATGTTCTACACAAAATGACAACTACCCACACAAATAAAAATAAAACCATATATGATACAGCTTACAAGAGTATTTAAAACATGGCTTCTTAAAATTGTATTCAGTTACAAGCCAATTAAAAATCAACAGAGAAATATAAAAATAATATATAGAGAAATAACATTATCAACATGAACTTGAAAAATATATATATATATATATTGATATCAGAAATAACAGTACAGTATTTTTTTTCCAGCAACTTTGCTGTATAATTGCACCTTGTCTTAATCCATGCTTAAAAATGTTACACTGAATATCACTCAGTATCAGCATTTAAGGGAACCATTACTTGTGTCACATGGCATTTTAGGTGACGATTATAATTAGCCTTGGTAGTAAATGCTTTGCCACATGACTTACATTGGTGGGGTCTCTCACCTGTGTGAGTACGAAGATGTAATTTGTAGTTATAACTTGATGAGAATGATCTGTCACAATATGTACATGAATGAGGGCGTAAGAGGCGGTGAGTTGTTCGCACATGGTGGTTGAGATTGGATCGGTAATAAAATGAGGCATTACATACACCACAGGTATGAGATTTTGTTCCCGCATGACGATGAAGATGATCTTGAAGGTCTGATCGCCTAGCAAGTGTTTTCCCACATACTGGACAAACAGCTCCTCCCTCACCTGAATGATTAGTCATGTGTGAGTTATAGCTTGAAGCTGTGGACAGAGTTTGTCCACAAATCTGACACGAATATGTTGGGCGTTGGCTATTGTGTGTGAGTAAATGTGATTGTAACCCGGAGGCTTTGCTGAAACCTCGCCCGCAAATAGAACAGTGATGAGCAAAACATCCCTCATGCTCAGCTAAATGTCGTCGGTATACAGACTCTAAAGCAAATCCTTTACCACAGAGTTGACACCTATGGCTGAACTGACCCGTGCAAGTATCAT